ACAGACGACGGCGTTGTTGAAGCCATTCTTTTGTTTGCATTCAAACGGATGACCACTGCCGTGTGTGTATCCTGTCGCAAAATGCGGCGAAAAGTCCTACACGACGGTAATAATGTGATTAAGGTGTGTACATGTCTTTACTGCACTTCAATAATGCAATTAAAATAGGAATACTCCACGTCTTAATTCGATTAGTGTTTACTTCGATTATGACCTTAGCTGGATTAAGGTAATCAAAAATCTCTGTTTACATGGTATATTCTTAATAAGAGTATTGTCTTAATCGTATTAAAATCGGAGTATTGTTGTCCATGTAAACGTACTGACTGATTCAGATGTGAAGATCTGTTAAATTATTTGGAAAATGGATTAGGATTGAGATTGTAGTTATAGATTTATATAACTAATAGATTTTTCTTTTTGTTTTGTGCTAGTAGTGATGTTGAGGTGATGTCTCTGAGTTCATACGGTCTATCACTGGATTTGTGACTGCTGGTGTCATGTGTGAAATTCCAGTGATTGCTGTTGTCTTTGTGATGTTTTGGTCTTCAGCTTGCTATTTTAAGAGGTTGGCATATGCACTCTTTACAATCCTTCAACAAACACAAATCAAAGAGTTACGACTAGAGTCACTCTTAACTGACCCCAGACCCCATAAGTCCACAGTATGAGATTGTCTAGAAGTTTTAAGCCTTAATCACTAGCTGAATTGTCTGCTGTGTGCTGAGAAGACATATAAACACTATGAACTTTCATACTTTAAATTGTTTTATGTGCTTGAGTTAAATTCTATTTGTTACTGAGAATCTCACATAACATTAAAGGGGTCATATGATGTTGCTAAAAAGAACATTATTTGGTGTATTTGGTGTAATGAAATGTGTTTATGCGGTTTAAGGTTCAAAAAACACATTATTTTCCACATAGTGTATATTATTGTTTCTCCTCTATGCCCCGCCTTTCTGAAACGCGTCGATTTTTACAAAGCTCATCGGTCTGAAAAGCAAGGTGTGCTGTGATTGGCCAGCTATCCAGTGCGTTGTGATTGGCCGAATTCTTCAAACGTGTTACGGAAATGTTACGTCCCTTACCATGTGATGCCTGCGGCAACCACATGTGAATCAGAATCAGAATGAGCTTTATTGCCAGGTATGTTTACACATACGAGGAATTTGTTTTCGTGACAGAAGCTTCCATAGTGTAACAGAATGACAGTGACGGAACAAAAAACACAGATAATAAAAAATAGAACAAGTAAAACAGGATTTCAGACAGACTGGTGTAACACAGTCTGGGCTTGGTGCTTTTTTCCTTTTCTGCTTCCGGAAGACCTGGCGCACCTCGTCTTCACTGATCTGAATTGCAGGTGTGGGGGAGAGGGGGGTTGCTGGAGGTGTGAATGGTTGTGTGACTGTCTTTGTGTGACCCCGGGCTGGACTCCGCTTCGTCACGGTGAAAGCCGATCCGGTGATTGACAGCGCGAAGTTGAAGTATTTCCTCAGCAACCAGCACGGATCAGCTCCAGGCATGACGAAGCAGATATCGTCCTCTTTTGGAAGGCCACACAAAGTAGTTTCGCTTTCACAATGAGTGGCTGACTCTTAACTTTTATAAAGAATATCTCTTTGGATTTGAGACTTTAGTCTTTGCAACTTTACAGATCTTCTTTATGCACCAAGAGCTTGTAACACTCCAAAGAGAAAGGAAAACTTGAAATCGCATCATATGACCCCTTTAACGTTTTTAAATATACTATTATATTGCAATCATTTCACATTCAATCTTCAAATTAATGTAGAAACAACATAAAGACAGTATATTTTTAATATAACAGCATATTATTATTATTAGCACTTTTTTATGACTGAAGGCGAGTATGACTGATATCCATACTGCTGATGTTTCTAGGAAATAGTTATTTTTTCCCCCCTAATATTTAGCCTAACCATTGACTATAGCAATTCAACAATACAGTATAATTGAGAGCCATCAATTTGAACATTTATTAGACTTTAAAAACAACAATTTATAATTTAAGTGAACTTAAAACAGTCTTCACATAAACCCTTTATAATAAATGTCATATTCACCTGTGCTCTTCAGCAAGTAGGAAATATACAGAAATTGAATAAAGTTGTCAAAAACTAAATTAAATATAGATGAATCCTTAAAGCTACAAAAGTTATTGATTTTCTCTTTCTTCTTTTGTTCTTTGATTAACAGACATCACAGCAGCTGGGTTATTAGGTTATTTGGCTGCTATTAATTTAAGAGCTGCTGCTGCTGAATGTGATGCGGATCTGACATGCATGCTCGTATAGTTTCACCCGCGCTTTAATATGAAATGATACAGGCTACAGCGTGCGCCATCATATTTGTGCGTGCAACTGAAGAGCACACACTACGAGCACAGTATAATGGCAGACAGGACAGAAAAATATGTTTTTACTGACATATGGCCTCATCTGACCACAGTTCACTGTTGTTCTATTGAAGCTCCTTGTCACCTGTACCATTTCAGCACTCGTTTGACTCGCGTCTGGTGCTGAAGTGAAGTTGGAGCACACGTCTGAAAAGTCTCCAGTTTGATGTGGTCGTAAAGAAGTTCTTTGTCTAAATAAATGCAATTCTTGTTAGAAAAAAGAGACAGAAGCAGCAGTTGTGAGTGGGGTGGCCATCATTAGCTCCACCCCAAAATATTTTTAACACTGTTAAACTGGAACAATTAATTGCCTGAGTTAACGCGCTAATTTTGACAGCACTAGTTTTTTTGATAATTGCATATTTTTAATGTAAAAAATTCAGATTTTTTTTTGTGCAATTGAGTTTATATCTAAAAATTGAAGAAACTAAAAATCATTGTTTCTTGCAATTCTAAGAAAAAAGTCAGAATTATGAGATATAAATTTAGAATTGTGAGATATAAACTCAGAATTCTGACTTTTTTCTTGGAATTCTAAGTCTACATCTTGCAATTCTGACTTTTTTTCTCAGAATTACCAGTTTAAATCTCATAATTCGGACTTTTTTTTTTTTAGAATTACCAATTTAAATCTCAAAATTCTTGTTTTCTCTGAATTCTGCATTTACATCTTGCAATTCCTTTTTTGTTTCCACCACAGAATAAAAAACACAATAGAGTGCAATAGATTCCACCACTTTTTTCTCAATTAATTGCCTGAGTTAACGCGCTAATTTTGACAGCACTAGTTTTTTTGATAATTGCATATTTTTTATGTAAAAAATTCAGATTTTTTTTTGTGCAATTGAGTTTATATCTAAAAATTGAAGAAACTAAAAATCATTGTTTCTTGCAATTCTAAGAAAAAAGTCAGAATTATGAGATATAAATTTAGAATTGTGAGATATAAACTCAGAATTCTGACTTTTTTCTTGGAATTCTAAGTCTACATCTTGCAATTCTGACTTTTTTTCTCAGAATTACCAGTTTAAATCTCATAATTCGGACTTTTTTTTTTTAGAATTACCAATTTAAATCTCAAAATTCTTGTTTTCTCTGAATTCTGCATTTACATCTTGCAATTCCTTTTTTGTTCCACCACAGAATAAAAAACACAATAGAGTGCAATAGATTCCACCACAGACTTTTTTCTCAGAATTGCAAGTTTGTATCTTGCCATTCTGAATGTATATCTCTCAATTCAGTGAGAAAAATCTGAATTCAGAGAAAAAAAAGTTGCATTTACCTTTTTATTTGTTTATTTTTGTAGCAGAAATGGGCTCCCATACCTTTTAAAAATTGAAAATGACTTTATTCCCATTGTAAACTAAAAGCTTGAACCTGTCAGGTTTTAGGACCTGTGGCTTCCCCGTCCACAGAGGAGGCACTAAGACAGGGGAGTTCTGGCTCTAACTACCACAGCAATCAATTTCTCAACAACAGGAGCTGCTTCGGACTGGGTGACAAGAGCATTCTGTTTCCCCATTCAGGATTAAGCATTGGAACAAAAGTGGAATATTGAAACATAAATATAAGGCATCATCTGATAAACTTTCTGAAGTGATAGAGAGTGAAGAAGAGGAGGAGAGAGGTAGGACAGTTTGATAACACATGCATGCATTTAATACTTTACAAGAGAAGTTGTGTCCAAAAATTCTGAAGTACTTTGTGCCCATAAAAATGCTAAAATAAACTTGATTTTTAGTTGAACCTTGGTCCACTTTTAAGTTTTAGACTTAAACCCTAACCTGGACTGTTTTTTTTTTTCATTCTTTTGCGTAATCTTCTCTTTTTTTAAATAAAGTTTTCTATTCCTCTCTATACTTCATACAGGAAAAAAGTGGAGTTTATGCATGTAATTGTATGTAGGAGAGTTTATGACAATACCTATAGGAGTAACTTAGTTCACAGTCTTCAGGGGCAACCAACAATCCCATTTGTCCCATCTTTGGGGGCTTAAAGTGTCTCCCCTCCCTTCAAACTTCAGGATCATCAGGTTACCATTGCGATACGGGCCAGAGCAGGGCTTTCAGCTGCAGCACACATGCACAAACCTCTACTCACACATGACTCATATTACCTCCAGTCATACACTGCTGAGGATGTAGCATCAGGTCAGACATACCTTCCATATTTTTCATATCATGAAAGTGCACAAACTTTCAGCGCTCTCCTGTTTTTTTTTATTTTATCATTTTTCTCTGTGTTGTAAGGCAGACGTGACCGTAGCCATCTCAGTTACCCACATCACTCATTACTGATTCATGAGTACCAGTCATTACAAGGCATAATATGCGTGGTACAGCATACACATGGAAGCCATGAAACATTAGCATTCTTGTGAGGCACGCTTTGACTTTTTTTTAAGGATGGTGCAGCTTGTATACATGCCATAAAATAAAAATGGCATAAAAATGCTAAATTATTTTAAAGTGTAAAATTATCAAGTGTTTTATACTTCTGTGTTCTTTTAAAAGACTAGTTCACACAGAAAAGAACATTCTGTCTTCATTTATTCACCCTCACATCATTCCAAGCTCTTTATAACTTTTCCTTCTTCCATGGAACACAAAAGGTACTTGTATAAATGCTATTATAATGAATGAGAACTGGGGTTTGTGAGCTTCTAAAAGGAAAAGCACCATAAAAGTATCATAAAAATATCATAAAAGAAGTGACTTGCGTCCTTTTGAAAGCTTTGTGTGAGAAACAGACTAAAATTTAAGCCATTATTGACTTCTATTTAGATATTAAGTGAATGATTTGAAATTTCGGTCTGTTCTTCACACAAAACTATTGTATAACTTTAGAAGACTTTTTAGTATAGTGCGCTAGTCATATAGTAGGGACTACATGTATGGTTCTTTTTTGTCATTTTGGAGCTTGACAGCTCCTCACTTTCAATATATTGAATAGAGTGACCTGGATATTCTTCAAATATGCAACTTTTGTGTTCCACAGAGTTTGGAACATGCCTTTAAATATTTACTGTAAGTCTCTAAACTAACTTACATTTCACGCTGTTTAGCCTGATGTTTATTCGGGTCAATTGCCACATAGAAAGCCAGGTTCTTGCACCATGATGTTCTCCAGACGTCTGACACACTTTCAGCTTCATATTTTGAACACAACAGGTTGTCTTTTGCCCTTTAATGATGATCCAAGTTCTTGTGCCATTTCTCTTTTAGAAAGGACAGTGTTTGGGTAGGAGAAGCTGATCCTCTCACAGCACAACAGGCTTTTTAGGGCTACCAGGCCATGTACACACATGCTTTGGGAGTGAGAACAGCATTTAAATGCAATTAAAAATGAATTATTGTTCTGTGTGTGTACAAAATACAGGTGTTGCATCTTGAATTTGAGATTTGACACAGTTTTGTAAACAAGAAACATGGATGCCAAATATTTAAAATGCTGGGTGTTAACTATTTTTAAAGCAGTATTATTAGCTATAAAATACACTACTGTTCAAAAGTTTGGGGTAATATTTTTTAAAGAAATTAATAATTTTATTCAAGTATGCACTGAATTATTCAAAATTGACAGTAAAGACTTTAAATTGTTACAAACATTTTCTGTCAAAAAATGCTGTTGTTTTTGAACTTTCATTAAATAATTTCTCAGTTTCCTCAAAAATGTGAAGCAGCACAACTGTTTTCATCATTGATAATAATAAGAAACTTAAAATTTTTTTTTTGATCAGCAAATCAGCATATTAGAATGATTTCTGAAGGATCATGTGACACTGAAGACTGGAGTAATGATGCTAAATATTCAGTTTTGTATCACAGAAATAAATTACAGTTCAAAATAGAAAACAATTATTTTCAATTGTAGTAATTCGTTTTTTTTTAATGTATTTTTTATTAAATAAATGCAACCTTGGTGAACACATGAGACTTCTATCAGAAACATTATAAAATCTTACCGACCCCAAACTTTTGAACAGTAATGTATAATATTGTCCTGCAATTTTTTTTTTTAATCAAACCTGGATTATTTATGCATTTTTCATGCATTTGTACTAGTCAAGATATTTATATGTTTGTGTGAGTTTTTAAAAACTCTTCTCAACTGTAAAAATTAATTTTTTAATCTTTTCATAATTTTTCATAATTGATTTTTTTTAAGGATCAAATTAGGTTGTAAAATGTTGCTGTCAGTTTTGTAAAGTGAACTCTGAGTAGTTCAGAATGAAAGTAAATACTTTAAAGTGACAAGTGTAGTTAGCTGCAGTGTGCATGTGGACATTGTAAAATCAAAAGCTGCTTCCCAACTTCTGTCCGTATGCTTTGAAATATTTATCGAGGCCCGTCAGGTACTTTAAAACTGGCCGTAACTTTCAAATTTCAACATCTGCCAACACGTTCTCACAAAAGGAAAAAATTTCCATTTGGCCTGAAATTCAAGAACTGAACAAAGGGGGAAAACTTGACTTGCCGTCTTGCCACAGACCCTCACAAAACATCACTCTCTTTGGGATTTTAGTCCACCTGCCCCCTTTCCCACAACCATCCGAGGCTTTTCAGAGGGGTTTATGGTGTCAGCCTTGAGGGGGTTATTGGTGATGACCCTGGGCCTTCCTCCTTTGAGCCAGGGATTACCTGAAGAATAACAAGAGAAATGGGTGAGAAAATCTGTGAAAGCAAACACCCCGAGAGCGAGAGGTGAAGGGGAACTGAGAGGTGATTATCAAGGCTCAGACTAAATAGAAATTAACAGCTGGATTTGCGACATCAAAATGGTTTCAAGAGGTGTTTGAAATAAGGACTGAAGGGGTACAGAAGGAAAAAAACTTTGTTTACCGTATGATAAATTTCAAGCATGTGCTAAATGGGACTTGAGTGTTCTTGGGAGTTATCATCGAGGAAGAGTGTAACAGGCAAGGGTCATTTCTGTCTCTTTTCCCTTTGAAGAACACAGAGACAGAGCTTTAAAGTGTCCTAACACGTGGTTTCAATTCAAAGGCACTCCAATAAATAGCGCTCTAAATGTATGCCGTCAGTTCCCATACCGTTCTAAATCTGATTTTTGATGTAAACTATTCAGCATATTTACCATTTCTCCTACAAATAGTTTCCAGAGATGCAGGTGTTTGCCCGTGAAATATTCTCTGACACATCCTCTTATGCCGCGCTCTGTAAACTATAGGAACGTGTTGGAGGCCTTTATCTCAGGCTTGGATCGCTGCCAGCCTCGATCACTCTTTTCAACCTGGTGGAGTCTGTGGCTTCAGGGAGCTGTGTGTTTAAGGACTTGAACTTCTAATTCCCCTGCAGTTGAGCTCTCAAACCTGACATAACAAGCTCGTACTGTAGTTGCTGTAATTGCGGTGTCATGTCTTGTTCGGTGGTAATGATGTCAGTGGAATGCACCTGTAGGGAATGAATTAAATGGACCATTATATCTGAGGAACACAAACCATTCACTCTCGGTAGTGGTGGGCGGTATGATCAAATGACTACTTTTTAAAATCACATTAATAATATATATCAAATTATAGTGTTTTTTTTTTTTACTAGAAATTCACAAACAAATATGGTATATTTACTTTTTCAAATTTATGTATCCATGCTGTTTAAAAGTTTTTCGTTCTTTTTTTAAAGAAATTATTTCTTTTATTCAGCAAGGATGAATTAAATTGATTGAAAGTGGCAGCAGATACTTTTACATTGTTACAAAAATTTGTTTCAGATGAACTTTCTACTTATCAAACAATCCTGATAAAATTACGTCAGTTTCCACAAATATATTTAGCAGCTCAACTGTTTTCAACATTAATGGTAATAAGAGCAGCAAATCAGCTTATTAGAATGATTTCTGAAGGATCATGTGACTGGAGTAATGATGCTGAAAATTCAGCTTTGCATCACGTATAAAAATTGCATTTTAAAATATATTCAATTAGAAAACAGTTATTTTAAACAGTAGTAATATTTCAGAATATTTTCTCTTTTACTGTATTTTTTATCAATTAAATGCACCCTTGGTAAGCATAAGAATAAAATTATTATTCTCAAAAAGAAAAACTTTTTTTTTTTTTACTTTAGATTATACATAATTTGTATAATCTAGTGAACTTATTTTCTGTTTTTATTTTGAACTTGATGGACAATTTTTCAAAATCACATTACATTTGACTCCCTACTGTTAATTCTGATTGGATGAGTCATGTTTGAAGCTGTATTCGTTTTTTTATTTTTTTTCTGTCACTTGCAGACAACATAAAACTGTCCTGTACAGTGCACTCCTGTGATATAATAATATAATTATAAACTGTACAAAACAAAATTTTGACAACATTTATAAACTGTATGAAACAAAGTCATAAGTATACATAAAAATCAAGACGAAATATTTAAGATTCATTTCTAGTCACTGTTTCACTCAGATCAATTTCAATTTAGTCAGAACAATTCTGAGACAATGATCATGTGACTCTTTGTACATAAAGTTAGATGTTATTGCTTCCACTGAAGCAAAAGATGCTCTTGAGAACTTTCTTAAACCATACTAGAGAATATAATAACATTTTTATTCATTTATGGAATAAAGGTTAAACCCAAATTATTTTTTGGCACTTACTATATC